CTATTATCTTGCATGGCAATATAAACACCATCTGACTGGAAACGGGCCTCTTGATTGACACCAGGTGGTGAGCATGGAATAATCATGCTTGTCTGTGTTTCACTGTTATTCTCAAAGGACGTACTATTATATGTAAATTATGAAATTATATCTCAGACCAACTATCAATATCCCATTAAAGCATGAGCTTTAATTGAACTATATTAATCCTATACATTTATTGGGCCAAGTATCTCAGTTTAATACCATTCTATTTTTTATGTTGTCCTTTTCAATAAGGTGTTTTCACCAGCTTGATGATCTATCATATCTATGCTAAAAAAATGATATGTACTGTTATAAGGGCAACAAATTGGAGAATTTTGAAATATTAGTATTTCCACAGAATAATGTGTTACTGTGGATTCCTATGAAATACGTTTCAAAATGGCTGCATTTTAAATTATTTTGCTTATGTTTTCTTGAAAGCTTATCCTTCTTTCTCTGTAAAAACTTTAAACATGAATGATGCATGTATACACAACTTTTGAACAATTTACTGTGATCAACTTAGTGGTTGAAAACTAACTTAAAACTATATAATAATATAATTTGTGATTTAAAATAAAACAATAATTTCTCATTTTACATATGGCTGACAGCTTCTACATGTATGGAGGGGGTGTGTGGTAAACTTCTGAATATATTTGAAAATAGAAATATGTATGCTTTTTTTTACCATAATAACATTTAAAATGCTAGCGCAGAAACTAGTGTAAATCACTACCTTGCAATGATCTTTTGTTGTTTTGGCCTTTAAACTTGTACACCAAGATTTGGCTAAATTTTGGAATAAGAGGCTAGATTTAGAAAGTACTGGTAAGTGAGCAAACAGTGACACTTTCCTTGGCTTGCAAGTCTTCAGAATACAAATATAAATCTGTGTTTTTATGTTTCAGGAAAATACAGCATTGAATGGAATGTCTGAAAAGACTTCAGTTGCTGGTAAACAGTCCTTTAAAGATTTATATTCTGTTTTGCCGGCCAAAATATCCACAACTATGGCAAAGAATTTATCCATTCCAATGTGCTTTGTTTGTCTTCTACACTTGGCAAATGAAAAGGTGAGTGCTTGACTTTGTTTTAACAAATGCTATTTCAGAGCCATTTCTCTTGACATGCCTTGATCATTCATACTGTATACATTGCGACATACATCATATCAGATATATGCACATCTATTTGTTTTATGGTTCACTTTAAGATGGTTGAATGGCAGACATTTTAATGTTAAAAACTCATCAAAATTGAGCATTTCTATTACTGACCCAGATCTTGGTTGTGAATGGATAGATTTCGTTCGAACTTGGTACATACATTCATCATCATGGGACATTGTTGCACATCGTTTTGTTTTTCAGATTAGATTCAAAATGGCTGACTGGTGGCCATTTTGAATGCAGTTCTAGATTATTTCTAACATGCTCTGACTGTTCATGTTCAAACTTGATGCATTTCTTACACTTGATGACTCGTGGGGAGTATGTAAAGTAATTATGATTTTCTACATTGAAGATTCCCACTGGGATGTTTTAATGGTGACAATCCATGCAAAAATTATGATTAATATTTAGAAATTAAAACAATGAAATGATCATCAACATCTAGCTGCTGTGAAGAGCATTTCAATTTGATCGTTTTATGAATAAATATCTGGCAAATATATTCATGCTTTTAAATATAACGGACAATAGTGCCAAAACAGTGATAATAATAAGCCTAACAGTATTGTCTCAGAGAACAACTTTAAACGATGACACAGCAAACAAGGAGTGTGGTAACAGCAATTTTGGTTTTGTGTTTATGAGATAGTGAGGGCACTGTTCAGGATGTACTACTGCTGCTTGTGTAAATGCTTCTTGAATCAGTCAAATCTGGGCTTAGTATGATGAATTGAAAATACATTTCAAAACAATTTTTTGACTGTATGTAGTTTATTTAATTTATTTTCTTTTTTTAACAGACTTTGAAAATTGAAGATATTGAAACGTTCTCTGATCTCATTATTTCGCAAGATTCTTTCTGAAGACAACACAACTGTTTCTCATTCGTCAAACAAACCACTGCCATATTTGTAATGTAAATAAACTTAATGGTATATCTGATATATATATATTTTTATCTGTACAAAGTCATTCAGGAAATCCTCATCTCCATTGCATGTTCAGTTTTTTTTGCACTACTTTTTTTCATACACTGCCACAATTTGATACTTAGTTTTCAGTAATTCTAACTTATTGTTATTGAATACAAACTGAACAAAACTTTTGAAACTATACTTTGCTTGTAATATTTATATTATAATGTATTTCCTCTCAGTTATCTATGTTGGTTAGAATATTTGATTAGAATCCTTTGACATAATGAGTGATTTGAATCATATACCAATTCAGTATATTATGTAAGTTTCCAGACTCTTTCAATTTCTTGTTATTTGTCAAGCATTTGAGTAGATTCCTGTGTTTAGTACTCAGTATCATCAAATAATTGTATTGTATGTGGGTTTTTTTGCTTGACAATTTCATGATGGTAAACACTAAATTATAATGCCATGCATTTTACATCGCCTTTGAATGTTTCTGTCATCTTTTGCTGTCGATACTCTTTCAAATCAAGTCCAATAATTTGAACAATAACTGTAGGTAATGGGAAATTATGTCCATTTGGTTTCAAATTAACAAAAAAATCAAAGAAGAAAAAAAAACATGTAAAACATCACACCAAAAGTGTTTGTGAGTTAACTGTGTAAATGATGTTCAGGGTTGGTAATGTACTATGTGTGAATTCTTTTGAATCTGAATCTGTAGGACAGCTCTATCTCTGGTTACCACCACTCAATAACTAATATCAATCAATACTTCCTTGCTTTTTGGTTTCTCTCACAAGAATTTGACTGTAAATTGTGCCCATTGACATCAAAATTCTTCAGTGACTTTATGTCTTGAGGACCTTGAAGAAATCTTCAGTGATTCCCCATCACAAGAGAAAGGTTTGTCTTGTGATATTAAAGCAACCTGTAGTATTGAGTGGTGGGCTCAAGTTTTACTCAACATGAAACTTTGACAACATAGAGAAGACAATACAATTACTTTCTTCTGTTTGACCTGCAATTAACTTTTTTTTTAATTCATTTTTAAATAATACATACGATGTTGGGTTGTAAGAAATGTACAAGGATTTCTTTTTTATTTTTGTCTAGTGATTTTTTAATAAGACATGTAACTTGTATGTAAAGGATAGTTTTCATCTCAGAGGATAAAACAACTTTGCTTGAAGGTGATGGCCGAGTACAGTGCAGCTTCTTCAGAACACTCATACATGCATAGCCAGTTGCTTGTAGCTTGCTGTATAATGTCACGGTGTAGCGCCCTCTAGTGGGGAAAGTGAAGTGAGAATAATAAATGCTATGTAAACTATGCCTGAAGGTGTCATGCATTGGAAATTATTTAACTTCAGAGTCCAAAAAGATGACTTCATAGATTTTGAAGGTATCCAAGTAAAGCCATGGTCATTTGTACCAAACACTTCTTGGCTATCATCAGCTGAAAGAAGGCCCATTCCTCTGTCAGGCATGCATACCAAATATTCTCTATTTAGAAATGCTTCAAACTTAAATTTGTTGTATATTGAATTATTAAAATATTCTTTATATTTTGACCATAAAAATACCTACAATTTATGTAAGTGCATGTGCTATTATTGTATTTGTTTTATTATTAGTAGCAAATGAACTTGCATAATGACAGATGTGTCTGTGGTCATAACTTATTTATTTGAAATTGTGCTTCAAATAGAGCGAATACTGTTTGCCTTTATGCAGTAGTTTTGCCATAGTATCGTATTTCTGCAGTTTTGACTGGACTATCATAGGGTTACTGGTTGTTTTGCCATAGTATCGTATTTCTGCAGTTTTGACTGGACTATCATAGGGTTGTGGTTGTTTTGCCATAGCATCGTATTTCTGCAGTTTTGACTGGACTATCATAGGGTTACTGGTTGTATTGTCATACTTTCGTATTGCAGCAGTTTTGATTGGACTATCATAAGGTTACTGGTTGTATT